TTTTGTTTTTTATTATTAGCAATGTTCTTCCGACGTCTGATTTCTTTTTAAAAAATGCGTTTCTAAAGTGCATAAACATTTGGGATTGACTGTATAGCCAATACATCCTTAAATGTGGGTTATCATAAATTTTATGATCAGCAGTTAGGAAAATCATTGAAGATACTGTCTATAGATAGAAGTTTATGCTTCATAATTCAAATTTCTCTTTTCAAGTAACATGAATAATTGTTAGATTTTGGCATTTAAGAATAGTATTCCACGAACTGAATAATTGCGTGAAACGTATCACGACAGGTGTCGTACGGTGAAACAAATTGCCTTCCTAACTTTCTCAAGACGCGTTTCCTACAGAAGAGGACGGTTGCCTGGGACGTCACGGAAAAATAGCACGCCTTTTGTCACCGGATATGAATCCTATTGAGCATACTTGGAATATGCTCGGGAGATCCAGCAGTGGCGCAAGAATGCACCCTCGATGCGATGAAAGCTCGTTGCTTAGGCACTGAAGAATGGCCCGACATACCGTACGAACCTCCCTGCCATCTCTTTTTTTGCAAGCTGTGCATTCCGGTCTTATTACGAATAGGTATAAAAGAAATATAATATTCAAGCGGGCGAGGGCTGAATACGTTCTAGGCCGTCAACCATGAATTACGCTCCCCTACATGTGTCTACCTAAAATGTTTGCTTACAACCTGAATCATTTTGTATGACTCTGATCCATGGTGTAAAAATGCTATGATTTCGAAACGGTGTTAAAGTAAAATTTCAGGCGATCGTTATTCAAACAATTGATCCGCAGTGAATAAGCACGGCGAGAAAGATATCAAAATATTTAGACACGCTTCGTATGTCGATTTCGACCGAGAACACGAACGCCCGTCACGAGAATACGCTTATCATACTCGCTGGCATGATTCTCACGTTTGAAACGAACGTGTGCGCTCCGGCGAACAAAGGCTCGCCGGTACAAAGCGGACGAATGCAGTTCCATGCGTTTTCGTATTGCCGAAGAAAATTGATGTACCTGGTTGATAAAGGTAGAGGTCCGCGGCGCGCGGCCACACGATCGCCGAGCGCTCCACGCTGCCTGGTTGATTCCGCGTGCTTGCGGATCCGAGGAGACTCTACGAAGAATCGCGAGCGACCACGCGGTTCCAATGTCTCGTATCTGGCGATGGCGCACCCGGTCGTTTATCCTCGCGCGCGACTCACGAGCCCTCTTCGTCCTCTTCGACGGCGGTGTCTGCGATTGAACGACGACGATGCACCGTCATCCCTCTCCTCCTAGTCGCGACATGAAAACGGTACGCGCGCGTCGCGATCCTCGAGCAGCGGGACGGCAGGACGGAAGAGTCGTTCGACGAAAGAGATATCCGGTTCACACGGTTTATTCGGTATCACTCGGCCGTGCACTCGTCGCCGATCACGTACCCGTTCGCCGAGGTTTCGTTATGGGACATCAATAAAACTTCAACGAGCACACCGGTAACCGGCAACTCTCGAACCGATCGCGCGTAACTCGTTTCGACGTGAGGAACATCCGTGAGTATCAGCGAGAGCGGAGCGCTGAGCGTCGCCGGGTAACAAGTCCGACGACCACGTGAGCTAGGAACGATCGGATCCACGTGTCGTCGTCGTCGTCGTCGTCGTCGTCGTCGTCGCCGTCGATCTCCGATAACTGTTATCAGACCGACGAGACTGAATCCGTGAAACTGTTGCGATTATTCGGCTGATCCAGCGGCGCGACCCGATGGACTAACAAGGGGCTGGTCGTCTTCGATCGTAAAACACGGAGCGGCACTATTAAAACCGGATGGACGAGCAGTAAAACCTTATCCCCGTTTACGAGGGGCGATTCGGTATCATTAAAGCGTAGGGGCGCGTAGTCAGTACTCGCGACTCTCGGCACGTGTATCACCAAATATTGATAACAAACAACAACAACAATAACAGCACTATCACCGTACGAGGGAGGAGGGGTAGTCCCTTCGGAATCGTTCCTCCGCTAGCTCCGCAGCAGACGCTCCTCGTGCTAGGTGTCAGCCCCCTCGGAGATGCTGGTACCGCCGGTGAGAGCGTCAACCGCGTGGCTACCGACCGTACTCCTTGTCGACGTAGTCGTACTCATCAAGAACGGGGTCCGTCACCTCGTCAGCCGACGCAAAAACGACTGACCCGTTTCGCCGGCCGCGCGTAAACGATAAATTTATCTCGACACCGTCTCCCTTCCCGTTCGGCCGCTCTTTTCGTGTCTCCGACGTGCTCGAGCTGTTTCACCGAATCGATTGTCTCGTGTGTTCTCACGTTTTTGATCGTCGCGATTCGTCCCGGCGAACGAGAAGGCAGGGGATCAACCGTTCCGCGTATATCCGTTAGTGCGGACGCGTGACTCTGACTACTGTTTGTGTACACGCGTGCGATGAACAATTCCGCTGGCGTCTGCGTCCAGCTGATCGTCTTGCGTGACGCGATAAAACTCGTACGATTCAGCAACTCGGCTGCCTTCTTTGCCAAAACGTGGAGATGGTGTACACTGCGGTCGCTCTCCGCACACTGAGGATAGCTGACGTCATGAGCCCACCACGCGGAGGTGGTCTCGCGAGCGAGCGTTTCGCGCCGGCGCCCGCGGCGCTGCAATCCCTATAGATACACGGGAACAGTGGTGTATACCTATCTCTCCTACTCCCACTGTGCCGGTCGCCTATATATCCCGCACCGTCCGCCTACGTCGACGGTTCAACTCGTTTCTACCCACGGCCGGAGACCGAGTAACGGTTTTACCGTCGTCGGAGGAGCTAACACCTAATGGAGTTTTACGTTACGCAACGTTGGACACGGTCAAAGAGGGCAAGCGCGCGCACCAAGAGACGCCGACCGACTCTTCACCCGGAACGCGCGAGCAGAGAACCGCGTTCCACGTGAATATCACGCCATCCACTAATCCGCTGATTTGGCTATCACGATAATTGTGACAAAGACATTTCGTTCCGTGGAACGTACTCTCCATACGAGATACGACGAAATCATTCGAGCATACTCGAATCATATATAATATAAAAACTGTTAATCCGAGAACGAAAGGTATGCAGGTTTTAATAGAATTTCAGATCTGATCGCAGAAAGAGAATGCTTGACGAGTTTTGGAAATGAAATCTCGATGAATCAAACGTATCTTAGCGGAACGATACTCAAAACTATTTACTTCAGCTGCAAGAGGGAATGTTGCCCGCAATATTTTTCACAGAGAAACGTTTCAATTTCACTGGGTGGTAATAGATCAACGTCATAAGTGATTTTAACCGAAAACGTACACCGATTCTTCCGGTTTTCATCTAATACTACCTTTTTCAAAAACTATTTATAAATAACGTTTGCACATATAATGGAATTATGGAAAATACACAGAATTTTCCGTCGCTATAAATCATATGCATGCTTTGCCAATACAATGCATGTGTTGTCGATGCATTTAATGATTTACAATCCTCTAGGAACTTATATTTATAGTATCCGATTTGTGTCCAAGTTAAAAGTATCAACGAACACTAAAAGAATTGATTTATAATAATATACATTACAGAGAAATTGTGGCACAATCAATTTAGAAGCCATGAAGATGGATGGCCCGCAATTACTATCCATTATGTTTTCTTCGAGCCATATCGTTTCCCCTTAACTTTTTGCCTCGGATCCGACAAAAAAACGAATGCCGGATAAAGATCGTGCGAGTATCCCTCCCGCGGTGATACCCGTGATCCTTAAGGTGATTTTTCACAGACGGGAAACCGCGAGCGAGGGATTTCAAAGAGAAAACTCGCAAGTCCCCTCGGACCGTCGTTACGGGTAGAAAGTTTCGATGGAAGTTGTGGCCTAACTCCGTTAACTCCGCGGAAGACGATGGAGAAATCGACAAATCCAAGACGAAGGATCGGGTGCCGCGGCGTGCCGGGTGAAAACGCCAGGATCCTTTTGCGGATTTTTAAATTCAGATATTAGGATGAATGGGATTCGCGTTGGATTCCAAGGAAGAAATCCAACTACCGCTACGTACATTTCGTTTAGCGGTATATGCGTGTATTTGATGGTGTTCGGGATAAATTATTCGCAGTTATCGTCGGTGCGCGTGGATACGGAGGTTGAAACGACAGAATCGCGCACGACGGATACAAGTAGCCTACTTGTTATACGCGGGCCACCTGGTTTAAGTGCATGTCAGTTAGTATGTAGGTTGATGCAGTAGGAATAGAACAGTCAAGAAGAGCAAACGAGTGAGGGGTGGGGAGAGGGACAAACAACGGGATACAGAAAGGGTGGAAGGGAAAGGAAGGAGGAAAGAAAGAACGAAAGAGAACGGCCGCCCGTCAATCTCTTTTTGGTCCCATCTCGCTCGTTCCTGCTAGCTTTCTCTTTCGCTCTTGGTCGCCGGTGGTGTTGGGTGGGCTGATGGTAGGAGGTGGATGGAAATCAATAGCCCTGAATAATGAACCCCAAGGCAGCACCCTCACTCCCGCTCTCCACGGTCTGGAGCAGTCTCTCATGCATCCTCTCATTCCAAACTGAGAGAGAGAAAGAGAGAGTGAGAGGGACAGAATGAGAGAGGGAGCAATTCCCTCTCCGTCTCGTGCTTTCGTTTTCTGTTCCCGTCTCGCTTCCGCTTCCTCCGATCTCCTACGAGCTCTCACTCTCTGCCGGCACACCGCATCGGGGCCTACCCGATCCCTTCTCCTTCTCAACACCCGAAAGGAGGTGTTTGTGTCCTCTCCTAGTCCCCAACTTTGCTAGGAGACCCCCTCGAACCCAATTCGGATAACCGACGGAAGAGGAGGAGGAGCAGGAGGACACGGAAAATGATTACCCTCCTCCTCTTTCTCCACGACGGATCGATGGTCGTCGAGCACCTTGGTTCGTGATTCTCTTGGATTCGGATCAATATCTACTTTAGCATTGCAATAAAATGGTCGGACAGCGCGTTATGATAGCCCACTCTCTTATCGAGTATCCGTCGGAGAAGCAATTTCGCGGCCACTAAATTTATTTGTAATTTCGATCGAACGTAAAACGTGTACATTACGAGGATCCAGGGAAGATGGAGAGAAATATAATGCTCGGAGGATGACGCAAATCAAACGAGTACACATGGATCCGTGTACCTCGGATCCGAGATAAACGGACATGGATGGATCTAAAGACGCGATCGAACAATGATCCTCGTATCGCAATTAGAGCGAGCTCGGGATTAACATAATTATCTATTCGCTGGTAGGAGCGGTCGAAGATGGCACTCTGAGAAACTGCAGCCTGATGTTTTCATCCGAACAGAGGGGGAGAGTTTCGATACGATAACTAGAATAAATAGACCCGTCAATTTACATAGTCGTTAACGGGCATAGCTGGCAAGCCCTTATCGGCTCCTGAACCTCCTGACCTAGCCAACGCGTTCCATGTTATTCCTTACGCTAGCTCCTACACCTCGGTAACTTCAAGGCCCCTCTATCCTGTACTACACACACTGTCTCGAATCCTTATCCAAAGGGGACGCTTATTAAAGATCGATCGGGGACACTGCAGCAATTCCTGGTTACTTCAACCAATTGAAAGTAACCGGATAGCTGAAAACGTTGGCCTGAATGCAAACCCTTGCAATTTACCAACGCCCATATTGTTCCTACGGCTTGTAGCCTCGACGATGCATCCGTAACGACGGCTAAGAGCCGCAGTTTAACGACATTTACAATTTAGATACGAGGAGTGTCGCGAACCGTTCTACCTTTATATCCGATCCCGAATGATTCGATTATTAAAAGTATTCGATATTCCGTTCGCGACGTATTATTGACTTTTAGACGAAGCACACACACCCCGTCGAACGTGTGCGCGACCAATGAAATAGGATGAACTAACGTTCATTTCACCAACCGTTCCTCTTTTATCACTGGAGCTTCATTCCCTCTCGTCGTATACGTACACGTTCGCCCCTACTATATTGCGTCCGCTTGTTTTAAGAACGGCGAGTCGAAACGGCGATTGGAAAATATTTTTCTCGGTAATCAAACGGAACAACACCGTCGCCTCGTTTCCCCGCCTGGGCTAAGAGGGACCGAAGTGAAGCGACCGAACAACCCCGAGTAAAGGCGGCGGGGCGGTAACGACTATGCAAATTTCATTTGGCTCGGCTCAATTCTTCACACACGGAAGATTAAGACATTAGACCAAGCCGGGACGGGTAAGAACAGGGAGAGGCGGGAGGGGCAGCGTGCTCCAAGCTGGAAAGTGAATATGTAGAGCGTCAGGAGACGTACGAGAAGAGGAGCTTTCGCCATGGGGTTCGGAACACCGACATACTTCCGCCGTCTGGATTATCTTCGTGCCTTCAACTATGCATCGCCTTCGTATGTTAAGCCTAAAACGATGAGGCTCTTAAATTTTGCGCGGAACTTCGCTCGTTACCGTACATAACTCAGCCCTTCTGATAACCGCAACAATCGTTAATGCCCCGCCGCCACCGCGCAGCAGCACGCCACTCCGTCTCCATTCGATTCTGTGCATCGCGCTGTATCGTTGCACGCAACTAAGCAACTTCCCAGTTATACGAAACATTTCATTCTTTCGCAGAGATAACCGTTGTTTCAATAGATTAAAGTTCATAACTAATTTCATATTTCTGTGAAAAAATATATAGTAGACGGCTGAAAATTATTTTTCTACCGAAGGCCGTTCGGGTAAGAAGAAAATCGGATTTTTCCACGGGTACCCAAGTAACCGAAGGGATTTTATACCCGACGCGAAACCAGATCTCATTTAAGGAACGAGCTAAATTAGCTTTTCCAATAGACTAGCTGCACGACAGGTAGTCCATGAAAGTTTTATATTTCACCGGGAAATGTGTATTCCGTATAGAAGCCTCCGAGGGCAAAGAATTTCACGGCTCTCATTCTGGTACGAATGAATCTCGGTGCGGTGAGTGCGGCCTTGCGGAGGATTTCACGTCCGCTGGAACAACGGCAGAAAATGCATCGCAGGTTATGCTTCCCATCCAGAGGTCCTACCTCCTGCCATGCCGCCGCCACGATGGGAATTTCCATTCTTCGTGTTCGGCGGCCCGGAATTTTCCGGCAACCAGCTTCGACTCGTCGCGTCGCTCGAAACTTCCTTCTTCCACTATACGTATATACCCTTGTTCTCGCTCGTCTTGGCTTGGGTTCGCGCGAGGACGTAATTTTAGTTTGATACCGGGTCACGATGGTCGCGTAGGCCGCGACCGCTCTCGTTTCGGTGTAATAAAGGGCTGGCAAGAAGTAAGAAATGGATAAAGTGCATCGTTGCTCGAGGAAATAAGGCGGACCGGTGTCCTTTGCTTCCCTCGACAACGCGCGGCCGGCTCTTCTTGCCCCCGATCGAGACAAAGCTGTAGGTATTACCTTATTTCCCCAGTGCCTTGCACTCCCTTCTATCGTACAAATCCTTCTTAGGGGAGAGTGGTTCGCGCTCGCACACTCGTTACCCGTACAATCCGCCGAGGCATTCCGTAGCCGGTTCTCTCCTTTCCGTGCCGCCTCTACCCTGTTT